AATCTTTACTTTCTTGAAATTCTTTGCCTGTGATTTGCTGGTAGCAAGGAGGACAGTAATAGTAGCCGTTTTCGTTGTCAAGTTTTTTAACTTCTTTAATTCGAAAATGACTATAACAACCTTGACACCTTTCCCAGTCGGGGCATTCATACTCAATATGGTTCACTCCTTTTAATCAAAAGTTAGCACCATAAACTGGTCGACCTTGATTATAATCTTTGGTTATGTCATTAGCATAATCACTAAACTCAAAACTGTAATTTTCTTTTTCAATATCTTGCTCATCTAAAAATAAATGACATTGACAGCACCGAAACTCTTTTAAATATTCTTGTCCTGTTGAAAATGATATTCCTTTCATTGATTTATTAATTGCTCCCATGTTTTTCTTTCTTTTTGCTAGTTTCTTTTAATTCTTGTCAATCTACTAACCAATAACCCCGAAAAACTTTCCAACCGAGGAAAATATACTTTTTGCCGTGGTATTTTCTATTGATTAGGTCTTGTCAAATTTCTTTATTTACCGTATCCTCAAAAGCTAATATCTCTTTAATTTCGGGTTTATCTTCAATAATTACTTGTAATCTTCAATAATCTTTCCCAGCATGTTTAGTGCCATTTCGAGCCTTATCTTTTTCTTTACTAATGATTTTCCCCACTAGTTCGTAAATCTTTTTATTTTCCATGGCTTGCTAATTGTTCCCGAGTTGCTTTAATTTGCTGGTAAGTTTGCTCGAATTGGGGTAATTGTTCCTGAGTTTGGTCTAATATTTGCTTTTTGACTAGATAATCTTCCTCTAATATTTGGTAAGAAGTGGCGGTAAAGGATTTTCTATTACTGCCATTAGTGGGGTTAGTATAAGTTCCTTGGACTGCTAAATAAGAGCCTTTTTTGATTTTAGGTTTTACTCATTTATTAAAATCTTTGATAATTCGGAAGATTACCGGGATATCTGGCTCATGGTTATCTACTTTTAAAAAACAATAGGCTGGGGTATCGGATAACTTTTCCCGGGTTCGGACTTGGGAGGTGGTTATTCCTTGGAGTTTGATTGATTTTAAGCAGTCTCGGCATTTTTTTCATTCTTCACCTTCTTGATAACCTAGCACATTAACTACTCGCTGACAATCAGGGCAAGTGATATTCCAGCCACCATTTTTACTCCTTGTTTTTAATAATCCATATTTATTTAATACTCTTTCTACTCTTTTTGTTTCTTGGCTAGTAGGAGCCGCAACTGTTCGACTTGTGGTGCTAACAGTGTTTACCTTTTTTATTTCTTTTGCTGTCATATGTTTTTGGCATATAGACAAAACGAGACTAATTATAAAAAAGGTCTATTAAAATTAA